TTGTCTGAAATGCAATTATCCTATGTATATAAATCCAACTAGATGTTTCGAGAAACAGGCTTGGATACTGTCGGATTTGATGGACAGTGATGACGTCGTATTAAACAACCATCTTGTACCGGGGCATGCATGTAGGTATTATATAAATGTAAATTGAAAAATAACACTATTTCCATTTATTATATTTTGGTTGCCTGGGTTACGTTTACAGAGGATAGCAGAATCAAGTGAAAATATTTCTGCTTATTGCTTCAGGTTCTTTGATTCTTGGGAAGTTATTTCTGAAAATGTATTAAATAGATCTATGTGAAGATCGGTAACTTAAATCAACTTTTGTGTTATACACCACATGACTCTTTAAGACATCCATCAATCTAACCCATGAAGGGACTCGTGAAGATCCGGGTTAGAATTGATCTTCAGTAACCCACGCTTGTCGTAAGAGGCGACTAACGGGATCGGGTGGTCAGGCTCGCTGACTTGGTTGACACATGTCATCGGTTCCCACTTGCGCAGATCGATGCTCATGATGTTGATCACTGGACTGTCTGGGCCAGACTCGATTATTTACAGACCGTGGCCATATAGCTGGAATATTGCTGAGTACGGCGTAAAGCTAAACTCACTCACTCAATCAATCAATCTAAAACTACTTCACCGAATGCAGGTTTTCGGCGTGGCTATATCTGGAGTGAGTGAGTATGGTTTTACGCCCCTTTTAGCAATATTCCAGCAATATCACACGGGGGACACCAGAAATAGGCTTCACACACTGTACCCATGTGGGGAATCGAACCCGGTCTTCAGCGTGATGAGCGGACGCTTTAACCACTAGGCTACCCCACTGACTCTTTTTCTGGAGCAGACCAGTCGTAGTCGTAGGTGGTTGCTGGTTTTAGAAATAGTTCGTCAACTGAGTTTTAAGCATAAAATATAACTCCATTTTGAGTGAGTAAGTGAGTGAGTATGGTTTGAAGCCGATTTTAGCAATATTCAAACAATATCACGGCGGGGGACACCAGAAATAGGCTTCACACATTGTACCCATGTGGGGAATCGAACCCGGTCTTCAGCGTGACGAGTGAACACTTTAACCACTAGGCTACCCCACCGCCTCCACTACACTTTGAAGCAGTATTACCTTTAGTCAAGCGTATACAAGCGCCATTCCGATGTTTGTTGTTTAACGCCGCACCAGCTACGTGGTGGTGGTCTGTAAAAATTCAGTCTGGACCAGACAATCCAGTGACCAACAGCATGAGTATTGATCTACGCAATTGGGATACGATGCCGTGTCAACCAAGTCAGCCAGCCTGATAACCCGATCCCGTTAGTCGCTTCTTACGACAAGCATGGGTTGCTGAAGACCAAATCTAACCCGGATCATCAAGGGTTGCCATTTCTGAGCATGTCCAACCTAGTAATATGTAGACATGGCAAATCAAGGTTTTACTTCGAGTGAAAACGTCAATTTTCGATCTTCAAATACTATTTTCATGTTTACTTCTGCAGTTCGGGTTTAACAGATCGTAACTAATTTCACATATTTTCTTGTTTTAAGGATCCTCGTATACGCACGACTCGAAATATCCATAGAAATGCACGATCAACTTAATGTATTCAGGCAATGCTATTAAATGTGCGACTCCTAACAGCAGAGCAAACAACTGCTCTCGTTGAACAGAACTGTTTGTATTGCAATTAATGCTCCGTTTTAAAAAAATATAAGCAGATTTTTTGCAGATATCACAAAGAGCATGTGTATATAACTTTTGTGTCCTCCATCAACGAGGGTAATTTGAGACAAGGCATGTGGCATTAGAGACAAGAGACTTTATTTCGGTACTTGTAGACCAGCTGACCATGGCAAAGTACTGCGCAATAGCTGTGAGAGATTACAGGATTTAGAAGACACAATGTGTCCATGAGTCACAGATGCAAAGAAGCTTAAGCGAAAATCGTATAATGATACACACATTTGACATGTCACTAGTCATTTGATTCTGTACCACGTTAGTGAACCAAGTGAGTACAGACAGTTAGAACTGGATTCGAATACTGGGCAAATTGTTATAGACCTAAGAGTTATGAACATATTATGTGAAAACACCGCAAATGTAACACAAGTCTTCCTCGTGGTGATAACTAAAGGTGATCGAGCAAAGAAAAAAATCTGAATATTCCAAACAAATACCTCCCCTGACCCACTCAGGGTTATCATATCTGGATGAAAGTTTACATATGTAGAGTTACATGAAGCTATATAGTCTGTTTGCAGTGAAAACGTATCGATGAATTTCACTTTAAACAAGAAAGTAAATCAAATAAAGTGAAATTAAGATTGCGAATCCTCATAATTTTACCTTGCCAATTGAACATTTGAATCTCAGAATTTTATTCAACTTAGGATAAAAGTTGTCTAACAAACGATCATAGATTCAAATCGCTATTATTGGTTTGTATTACAAGGGGGTAAGTGCAGTAGTTGGAACACTGAAACAAAGGCACTTGCAGTACGTGATGAGCATTAACTTAGACCAACCCTACTTGTTTTCGGAGTTTGATCTAATGCGCTTACCCCCTTGTAATGCAAACCAATAATAGCGACTTTTTAATCTATGATCGTTTGTTAAACAACTTTTATCCTAAGTTTAATAAAAGTCTGATATTTAAATTTAAATTTTGTTCAGTTGGCAAGGTAAAATTATGAGGATTCGCAATCTTAATTTTACTTATTCTATTTAATTTCTTGTTTAAAGTGAAATTCATCGGTACGTTTTCACTGCAAACAGACTAATTTGCAGCACTGAAATCTCACCACTTCCTCATTAACAAGTGTTAGAGTAAGGTGTGACCATGGAACCAGTTGACCTTCGATGAAATGAAAGAAACTTATGGGGACGATGCCCCATCATATGACGTTGTAAAACACTGGCATCGCCAGTTCAAACGTGGCCGAACATCTGTTGAAACGGCTCCCATTCCTGGGACCTCCATTCTGCCATTGATGAAGACGCCGTCCAGCAAGTGGGGGCTACCATCTTAGTAGACGGACGTTCGCCAATTAGCCCAAAATGTCAAGATGGGTGTAGGGTCTGTGGAAAAGAAATCATTCACGACCATTTGCACATGTATAAGATGTGTGCACGGTGGATTCCCAAACAGCTCAATCCTTTTAAGAAGCAGGAACGAGTCGATTGCTCAAAGGCACTTTTGGACATGAGCCAAGTAAACCAGGAAGCCTTTAATGGCAGACTTGTCACACAAGACCCTGTGACCCTGGCACTTGTCTATACTTTCAATCACCACCCCCAAAGAAGGCAAGGGTTCAACCCTCTGCAAGAAAGGTCATGCTCGCCGCCTTTTGGGACCCGCATGGAGTAGTGTTGACGGATTTCCTGGCAAAGGGTACCACAATTACTGGGACTTACTAAGCTTCACTACTGCGTAACTTGCGAGAAGCCATCAAACCCAAAAGGAGGACCAGAGGAGTTCATCTCCTTTAGGACAAAGGTCCAGTCCACAACACCCATATTGCCCAGACAGAAGCGCGCTCGTGTGGCTATGACATCCTTCCACACACACCCTATCCCCGACCGCGTCATACCAAAAGACGTTAAAATATGGTACTTGTTGGTCCCTGCCTGGCGCTCGGCATTAATGGGTACAAGAAGGACTGGTCGGCTCTAAGTCAGTATAATGTGTCTGAGTGGGGTATTCATGCTTCACTGCGGCATGGTATCTCAGTGGGCTAGCACTATAAAAGCTGCTTCAGTCTGGGCTAGTACAAGCAGCCGCACATACACATACACACGCATGCACGTCGTCATATGAGCGAAATATTCTCAAGCACGACGTTAAATATATTGCATATGTTTTCAACTTTTTCATTTTTTATGGGTCCACACGTCTAATTAAACATCTGTGATAGAAGAGGAAATAACCTAAAACGCGTAAAATCCGCCCAAAACTATTTCTATTTACGTAGTTCTGTGTTTACATTGGTACGGCGCCACGTGCTGTCATCGAAACTCTGGCGAGAGCTAGCGATACACTAGCGATATATATGATTATGTATTGTCATACACCTCACTGTTGCAGTTGTAGAAGAAGGGGCGGTGGGTTAGCATAGTGGTTAGAGCCCATTTCCCCGCCGTGATATTGCTGGAATATTGGTAAAGGCTGCGTAAAACTAAACTTACTCACTCACTCTGATTTACAAATAAGCGCGTTAACTCCCTGGATGCCACAGGGACATATATGTCCTTCCCCTTCAACCCTCAATTTCAAGTCCAATAAAAATATCCCACGCACACAAATACACTTCACAGTTTCGAATTCTGCGGGAAATTTCCTGTTTCTTGATACCATCCACTATTATTTTAGACAAAGCTCAAGTGCTGAAAATGACCTTTCAAAATAGGACAACATTTAGCAGTGTCTATTTCTCAAACCGCCGAGGTAGTTGCACTTATATTTAAACCAACGGATAGGAAATTTAATATTCTACATTTCTGTGTAATTTTATAGCCGTACGTAGATCCAGGACCACGTGAGCGCAATTCTCGCACAACGTTAACTTTTCAAACCGTATGAAAATGTGCGCCTGAAAAAACCTCGGCATCCAGGGGGTTAAGCAAGAGAAAAATCTGGTTATGTGATATGCAAATTAACCTGTGTCAGTGATGTTAAACAGTCGTCACTGCGCCTGACTGGTTCCCTGACGAAGCGCAAAGGGAGCCCGGAAACAGCTTCGGCTAACCTCGCCACTTTCCGTAACTATTATTTGCCTTGCTCTTTCGGCTAACTTCGCCCATTTTCGTAACCACAAGCTTGTAGCACTGCGTGTCCCTTAACTGATTCCCGGCTCCCTATATGCTGTATGAGGGGCGAATCAAGCTTAGTCTGACCCCTTGAAACACTCGGCATATTCCGCATTAGGAAGCAACAAAACCGTTACGTCACAGAAAGTCAATGACGTCATAAAGGAATGACGTCACAGAGCCACATCAGTATCGTAAATGAAAGATTTTGTGCAAGATGGATCTGACCTCAGGAGGTGGCTCTTTGGGTAGTGGATGCGGGTTAGACTTTCTACCGGGGAACTGTGACGTATGCAAGCAAAAACACGTCCGTGTCACTTCCTTCCACTGCAGGTCGCACTTCTACTGTAGGAGCTGCTTAGAGTTTGCGCCCAAGTTCCGTAGACGTAAAGATTTCTCCTGCCCCACGTGCAGTGACCACAACAAGCATCGGACTTCAGACAATCTCCAGGAAGTGGACAAGTTCATGAGAACACAAACTTCCGGTCAGACAAATGAGGACTTTGAGGAGGTAGTGTTCGGTGTTGGAGGATCCAATATCGTGTTTTGGAACGGTGAGTGTCGTTTTTACTTATTGATGATAATTGTTAAGATCTATCATGATGATGGGTAGCCAAGCGGGAAATGTGTTCGCCCGTTATTCCGAAGACCCAGTTCGATGCTTCATTAAAATAAAAGACTATTCTTGTATTCACCAATACCCACTACTTCGTGATGAGGCTCGTCCTGAAAGCGATGTTAATGAGAATCACTCACTCAACATTTAAACAACTGAAAGCATTGTAGGTTTTTTACCAATCAAGTTTATTTTTTCAACTGATGTCAACTGATAGCTTTACTTATGAAAAAGTACAATGTCTTTTTTTGTATTTTTGTCCGCATTTGTGACAGTTTGGGTCCGCTGATTTGTATGAGATCCACCACGCCCAGGATCCGGGACACGTGCACCCGTGCTCGGAGATCGCATATCACCATGCTTTAAATAGAAAAGAGAGAAACCATACGTCAGATATGGCTTCGTTGAAACTGACGCCTCTAAATTTTTAACACTGTTAACGAGTGCTCGCGACATGTGCACTTATAATATAACACCTTTCAAAAAACGTTAAAAATGTAACGAATAGAGAATTACGTCCTTGAAGATAGCCTTAATATATAAAGAGAGGGACAATAGAAATAATACCGAGTTTTTACAAAATGTAATCAAAGATTAGATGATTTGATTTAACTCAGCAGTTTAGGAAACCTTATTTGTGGCTTGGTAATTTTGGGTAGAAATATATTGGTTCAATGAAACCTGGTGTAAGAAACGTGTTTTCAACCACACGACCACTTCAATTTTTTATATTTTAATTGGTGCCGAAAAAACAAATTTGTTCATTTTAAAAGATACAATGTTTAAGATACCAATCGGTAGTTGCGTACTTTGTCATAATTAAATTATATTTAGAAACTAAAACCATTAAATAGTATTCTTTGGGTGCTCATTCATTTTTAGGGTACAATAATGCTTTAATTAAGATTCCAATTTAAAATCAAACATATGATAAATTCAACAGAGAGGTATAGTTTATTTTGGTCCTCAGTTTACGACCGTGGTTACCAATCAGGAATGCGTCTTCAGCAGTCCATGGAAATGAAATGACTTCATGAGGTTTCGAATTCAACTCGATTAGAAACTCGAATACAAAGCAATTACCAGAAAGCGAACCAAAAAGTCGGACCGTTCCAGAAACAGCTCGTTTAACCCGCTTCAGATATCCATACGATAAATGCTCGGCAATACATATTAAAAATAGAATAACAACACTGTACGACTAATGTTTCAATATTACTGGTATTACCTTTGCCTGAAGATGAGAAGATTTTGTAATAGTTCATACAACGTGCAGAGAGCTGGTCAAGGACATCGTTGGAAACTGGAACTCGGTTATCAGTTTCTGATGAAAGTTGCAAGAAAGTACAGAATGAAATGGAGACATTTCTAAATACGTCTCTTTATGTTAGCATTTAAATGTCACTGTATATGGCTGTCGCAGGATTTGCGATCAATACTCGAACAGGTAAACGCGTACTGACGCAGGCGCGTATGGGTCAGCTTTCTTGTTCCATATGTATCCGTGTGTTTATTTCCCCAGGTGAACAGTTGCCTAGCCTTTGCATGTGTTCATGACGGGTACCGCCGGTGGAGCAGGATACGCGCACCTTGTAACATCACTAATTGATAGCGATTTATAAACACATGCTCAGAAACGTACCATCGTTTTGGGCAGATCTTTCTTACGGCTGTGCTGTGGAAGAGGGATTTTGAATCATTAATAACAATAATGATGTATTTCTAATTTCTATGGCGCTATTTCCAAACATATGGATACTCAAAGCGCTTAATAGACATGATGCACATTATTACCCCGGATAAGTTTAATGGTCATATAACTTCTACCACCGGGTACCCATTTTCTGCTGGATGAACAGAGGCAATCTTGAACAAACTCGCTTACCTAAGGTGTGACCACATAGTTGCTTCGTTGTGGGGGCAAGACAGACTTCCAGAAACTCTCAGGAGTCAAGCTGCCAAACACGGTCACCCATGCAATGACTCTCCGTGACCAGCGTTGCTTTAAGAGGTGACTAAAAAGGTCTTAGGCTTTAGATATTATAATTTGCACTTGTCTACGAGTTGGTTTGAAATATGTTCCCATAACAGTATCACGTGACTGTCTTTCGACCCCCTTCGACCAACTTCAACATGGCTGACCAAGCTTCGTTACTCCTCACTATGCATGGTTGTATTGTTTTGCGATGTGGGTGTATGGCGAAGCCTCTTCGTATTCATGGAATATCAACTCGAAGTCTTAATTGTTTAATCCAGAACTCCACTGTTACAACACGGTTCCAAAACATAGACGAAAGTCAGTTGCGACTTGATGAAACATTCATGAGAAATAGCTGTAACTGCGTTGAAACTCAAGCATAACATTCGCGAGTCCTAGATTAAAGTGATTTGAAACGTTAGGTGAAACTTTCCTGGCGAATACAGACTTTAACCTGCCTTTTTCTGCAAAACAACCTTCCGAATTATCACTTCATGACGCAGACCGCGCGGCTTCCACTCTCCGGCGCAGTGATGACTTAGCATAACATCTACTATGCTGGCTTGCCGCATGGAACTCTGGGTAGGAGAGTGCGCGGCTTCCTTTTAACCGTCAACTTCCGTTCATAAAGTCCCCAATCAGAGTTATTCCCCTTGATACCAAAATTACTGTGAGCAGCGAGTTGCACTCAACTTAATAAAACTTAATGTCTCTGAATAACTGATTCCAATACAATGGTTGCCAAAATGGTTGTTCACGTGAAGATGCTATTTATGAACCGCGTGAGAAAAAATAATTTGGTTTGGTTGTTGTTTAAATAATCGGACCAGACAATACAGTGATCAACACCATGAGCATTGATCTACGCAACTGGGATACGATGACATGCTATTTAATTACGTCCATGGTGTTCGTTGAACCCAATTTTCATGTTTGCAATACTTAGAATTTGTTTTCGCAAAGAAAGTGTTTACCAACAATTTAATAGCAAAATATTTCTGAATTTAATGGGTATTAGTTGCTACAGATGCATTTTTACTCATGTGTCACCAGTAATAATCACCATGATATGAACAACTTTGAGATGAAGACAAGATATGCGATACAATGTGTTAAGTCATCACAGAAATCATGAAACCACCCGATCGCTCAAGTCGCCTCTTGGGTTGCTGAAGACCAATTCTAGCCCGGGTCCCCGATCTGTATATGTTCACCGCTAACGTGATGAGTTACAGGTGGTAATAATACTCCCGGCACCACCACTCTGCCGACAAGACCATGTATGGGTGAATACCCCCGTGTTAGCGGGACACCACTCTGCCGACAAGACCATGTATGGGTGAATACCCCCGTGTTAGCGGGAGACCACTCTGCCGACAAGACCATGTATGGGTGAATACCCCCGTGTTAGCGGGAGACCACTCTGCCGACAAGACCATGTATGGGTGAATACCCCCGTGTTAGCGGGAGACCACTCTGCCGACAAGACCATGTATGGGTGAATACCCCCGTGTTAGCGGGAGACCACTCTGCCGACAAGACCATGTATGGGTGAATACCCCGTGTTAGCGGGAGACCACTCTGCCGACAAGACCATGTATGGGTGAATACCCCCGTGTTAGCGGGAGACCACTCTGCCGACAAGACCATGTATGGGTGAATACCCCCCGTGTTAGCGGGCGGAGACCACTCTGCCGACAAGACCATGTATGGGTGAATACCCCGTGTTAGCGGGGAGACCACTCTGCCGACAAGACCATGTATGGGTGAATACCCCCTCTGTGTTAGCGGGGTGACCCTCTGCCGACAAGACCATGTATGGGTGAATACCCCCGTGTTAGCGGGAGACCACTCTGCCGACAAGACCATGTATGGGTGAATACCCCCGTGTTAGCGGGAGACCACTTGCCGACAAGACCATGTATGGGTGAATACCCCGTGTTAGCGGAGGCCACTCTGCCGACAAGACCATGTACGGGTGAATACCCCCGTGTTAGCGGGAGACCACTCTGCCGACAAGACCATGTATGGGTGAATACCCCCGTGTTAGCGGGAGACCACTCTGCCGACAAGACCATGTACGGGTGAATACCCCCGTGTTAGCCGGAGACCACTCTGCCGACAAGACCATGTACGGGTGAATACCCCCGTGTTAGCGGGAGACCACTCTGCCGACAAGACAATGAATGGGTGAATACCCCTGTGTTAGCGGGAGACGACTCAGCATAGAACTCCACGAAAGAGTCAGAGAGGTTGCTTATTTCTATGATTGTGTGGGCTTCATACAATGGTCAGTGTATATTTAATTAATTTTATGTGTTTTTAAAGTTACTACATACAAACATGTTCACAATTGTAACCCGGCTGATTTATCATGCCCGGACTGCGGAGAAGGTAAAGAAGATGAATATCATGTTCTGTTTTTTTGTCGTTATAAGGCACACATTTGGGAACATTATCTGCCTATGTATAATTGTAGTCCTCCATGTACTGCACACTGCATTGCCTTGTTATCAACAACAGACAGTGATCTATTGCTCTGCTTAGCCACCTACTTGTATAAAGTATTCGGGGCGGTGGGGTAGCCTAGTGGTTAAAGCGTTCGCTCGTCACGCCGAAGACCCGGGTTCGATTCCCCACATGGGCACAATGTGTGAAGCCCATTTCTGGAGTCCCCCGCCGTGATATTGCTGGAATATTGCTAAAAGCGGCGTAAAACTAAACTCAGTCAGTCAGTATAAAATATTCAAATCAAGATTATAGAGTAACATATGTTGTGTTTGGGATTGCGCTGTCTTGTTGGGGTGCAGATTCGGATTCTCGTGTGGGCGGCTGACTGTTAGTCTGCCTCACAGTCCCTGAACCACATTAAGTGTCAAGCTTAGAAACAGCGTTAGAAAGACTTATAGGTATATAGACCCTACCCTAGTACTATATAAAAGGATCCTAACATGTTACAT